AAAAAAAAATCATTTCACACCCTGCAGCATCTGCAGCTGCAGAGCTGAACACTGCTCCTGTTGTTTGCAGCCAGGAATTAAATGCTCTAATGACAGTAAATAGTGATTGGTCATGGTTACGTGTGGAATGCATTTCACAGGAAAGGGATGGAAATGCTTCATTCCAAGCAGCATAATTTAAAACAAAAGAAGTTTTTGAAAGGGTTTATTTCAGGATAAACAGTTTCAGTACGAGCTGTGAAACGCAGGATTCCCCTCGGAAGAAAAGAGCTTGACGGGTGCTGTTGCCGAGTGTCAACAACAAACACTGAAGTATATTGCAAAACACAATAAACCTTGGGCATGTTTTGCAATCTGAGTCCTTTGTACTGACCTCTGATACTGCCACTAGTTCGAACAGGTACAATGCAGAGCTGGCTGTGCAGAGCATGCTGGGACAGTACTACAAAGCATGCATGAAAGTGGCTTCATGAGGAATAATGACAGCCAAGAAACAGGTGCCTTTGATTGACATTTGGCTCAGGCTGCATGTCGGTGCAGTGATTAGCATTGCTGCCTTGCAGCTCTGAGGTCCTAGGTCCTGTTCCAGACCTGATAGCACCTGTTTCAGACAGGTGCTATCTGTGTGGAGCTTGTATGTTGTTCATGTGGGTTTCTGCTCCGGGTTTCCTCCCACAGTCCACAGACATAGTGGTAATTTAATTGGCCCTTAATTGGTAGGTCAATTTCTACACAAATTGCACAGGTGTGTGTGTATTTTTATGTCTTTGTGTGCCCTATCCCTGTGATGGACCGGCCCCCTTCAAGGATGTACCCCGTCTTGTGCCTTTTGCTTCCTGGGATAGGCTCCAGCTCTGCTGCGGCCCTGAATGTGACAGAACAATTAGGACAGAAATTTGTCTTGGCCCCCCAGCCACAGGAAAAGGATGCTGGGACCCCCCCGGGAGAGAGATGAATGTAAAAAGTGGGGTCTGCTTATGATATATACAACTTTCAAGAACTGATGTTGAGAATGATTATGATTTAGAACAGCTGTGGCACAGAGTGTTGCCTTTCCTCCCATAGTTCAGTTAAGAACTCTCATTTATTAATCTTCTCTTCAACTAGTAAATAGGACATCTAAAATTGGACCTTCCAAGACAGGACAAGCTATACAACTGCAAAGAAATGGGAGAGGAGGAATGGGCTGGCAAGTATTTCAACCAATCACCTTGTGAGTTCAATTAAGGATTCAATTAAGTAATTAAGCTTGTTTGGCATGAAAGTGAGCAGGTGTATGTAATTTATATCAGTCCTTTGAGAGCTTACAGCTGTGAAGATACAATTGTTTGGGCAGTGATCAGCACTCCAGGTCCTGAAGTGTCAAAAAAAATGTTTTTTCATTATACCTCAGCTCTTAATGGCTTGAGAAAAAATAGATTGCATAAAATAAATGAGATGTGTAATGATTCGTTAACATGAATAGGGCTTTCAAAACTTGCCAAGTCACAAATATATATACACATTTAAAAAGCCAAGAGTTTTCACGTGAAAATAAAACGTGCGTTCGTGTAATTAGCTGTTAGCGTGATCCACTCGTGTCTAAGACTGTGGGAGGCACTGGGAAATACAGTGGGCTGTCAGTGGGTCACGTAAACATGACCCAGTCCTCCCTTCTCATTTAATTTATATTAAAAGCAACATCGTTCAACATGACCTGCAACTTTCTAATTCCAATAGTTGGGCCGGATATAAGGAATCAGGTAGTGTACAGCTTCGTCATCTCTAGAAAACTGAAAAAATAAGAGGCGTGTGATTGTGTAAGACTTCTGTGTATGAAATAAGCATTGGTGTGCGGCGCATAAAGAATTTGGAAGAACAAGCATAAAAAAAAGACTTCAGTGGTTAAAAAATGGACTCGGTGCGCTGGAATATTTTTTGTTTTTCTTCTTCACAAGCGGGAGCTTTATGCACCATAACATATACCTGTAAAGGTCTAAAACTTAAGGCGATGATAGGTTATAGTGCCACGGTCAGGTTTACAAAACCAGGTCAACAAATGTTCGCGTTACAGCCAGTCTGGTGTAAGTCTTTATATTATTTAACCGTAGTCTATACAGCAAACCTGGCCTTTATTTTTAACGTCTCGCTAATATGAGTGTTGCATGTGGTTACTTATAATATTAAACAGGATAATACACAGGGTTACCTTGCAATAATGGCCTAGAATCCCCGGACTAGAGTAGAGATTTGTTACCCCACCCCGCGATACCGACTTCGCTTGAGAAAACACGCGTCCCCCGGTAAATGAAAAACACTGCTGCAAACAAGGGAACAGTGACACGCCTCGCGTTTATTTTTAATGTTCCGGTAATTAAAACCCGTCATCGAGTGTTATATTCATATGTAAGAGATATGAATCGAGACCAAGCTTAACACTGAAAAGGTGGAACACAAATTGAAAGTTTCGGTCAAAGTACAGTAATATTTTAATAACCGTTTCCTCTTTCGATGTAAAATTAACTAAACTCTGAAAACGAACGCAAAGGGTCTCTTCCATAATCTGGGACTATGGACTATGGAAAATAACTTATTTACTTATCGTGTAGATAATGGTTTTCCCACACAGAAAACATCCGATGGATGAGTTGAATGAGTTAACATACAGCAGTAAAAGCGGCTCAAATGGACCTTTAAAATATTTTAATTTGTGTCTACACCACAAAATGAGAGTGCAAATGTCTCCTCGCATCTAATAGGAGTTAATGTATAAAAACGCACGTTAGTCTGCGGTTCCAGAAGCTACTTAAATATGATCGAAGCCACTAAAGTTAACACTGTCACTTACACTTTGTTACGTAATGGTCTATTTTGTATGGTCTACACATCTAGCCGAGCCAAAACACTTTTAAGAAGGTTTGGATAAAAAAATGCACCGTTTCTTAAAGCATAGAAGCGGATCGAAAAACAAACTGCAATTAATTATTTTTTGCATAAAATCCCTTCCCCCCCCCTTAGTGACTCACCTTTCCATGACCAGTTAGCGAAGAGAGAGACACTACTGATTACAAACTGTACCAGAGCGCAAACAACACTTCTCTGGACGCTACAGTACTTTAAGCAGTATAAAAAAAAGCGATCAGCCCTGTAGTTTTGTCATCCTGTTGCATAACCAACTGACAGTCACAAACACGTAAAAAAGACATCAGCGATGATGCATAGCGCTTACTATACTACATTAGAGTAATATTTCCACAGCAATGCTGTGGAATCGGTATTCATATTTTTCGTTTTTCATGCACCAAACTAAAACAGAAAAAACTCCAGTAATTAATTAGCTCACAAGCAAGTATTGCTTTGTTGATTAAGTATTCGCAGGCTCTTCTGACACCATCTGTGTTCTGCTACTGTAAGCTGTTTATCGCGGCTCGCAAAGCAAGCGTGTCTATGATGATAACATGCTTTAGTCACCGAGAACAAAAAGCCCGATACATCAGGAAAAACATTCAAATCGCAAACCGCGTTAAAAGACGCCTTCGCTCGATACAGGCGGTGGTTACTTACAGAAATCTTTTGTAGCACAAGACGTACATTTCTATCGCTGCTCAGTGTTTGCCGTGAATTTAGAGGAAAAAAAGGGGGGGCGGGCAAGAAGGGGGGGTTGAGGGAAGACGTAACTCACCATGACTAAGCATTGTACGGACCTTCTCGCTGTGCCAAAATAAGAGCCCCACCGCTAACAACTGGGGCTACCTCATGTTGGCAGAAAGGGAGAGAGACTCTTACGGAAGAGGACCAGGAAAATAATACAGAAGGAAAGGGGAAATATAGAAATGCCCTCAGCCCTGGCACTCAGCCTAGCCTGGTCCAGATTACATGAATGCAGTGCGCTATACAACTGTTCAGATCTGTCTTTGGTTGGAGAGAATAACAGCCCCTTTATGGATCAGTCATCCGTGATCGTGTGCCAAACATCTCTACCTTCCACCACGTAGTGACTGCATACGCTTTCGTTACTCTGTATTTTGTTTTTAATTCTGTGCTGCCATTATTGTATACCTGCGTCAAAACAGGAACTCCCCTTGAAGTAATTTATTGCCATTCGTATGCTGTGCCCAGCAGATGCCGTCATCGATTTGTCTTATTCAAATGGCAAAACTAACACTTTATTAAAAATACAGTGTATATATTGCTGACAGGGAGTGTTGTATTTGTCTAAGTGCGTACTGTACGTGTGACAGTTGCGGTTTTAAGACGCAAAACAGAAGATAATATTACAATCACCAGCGATTTTGAATGATCAATTGCGAATTACTGTCTATTCTTCTGTCTTCCGCAGTTGATCTTAGCTCGCGATCATTTAATCGAACCCCAGATTTTAGTTTCTTATCAATTGGACCTTTTTGGATTGTTTTCAGTCCTGGATATGTCAGATTTTTTTTTCATCTCAAAATCTGCGAGTAACTTGAAAACATTGTCTTTGCAGGAGAAGAAAATGTCGAATATTGCTTATATTGCTGTGATGTGAGATCAATTAAGCGATTGAAGACCAGCAGGTATTGGGGAGGGTGACACGTGACCAGAGCCGTGGACCACTGCTTTCGAGCACGCGTGTCCACTCGTGGTCCTGGAAGGCTACTGAGTTTGCAGTTTTCCTGTTACTGTTCTTGTGTTTTAACTGGTGTTTTGTTTACTTTGACCGTTAAGCACTTTGAGAAGATTCTTTTAGGGCTCTATATAGGTTTATTATTATTTCATGCCCTGAAGTGCTGGATGCATCTGGGTGACACACAGTAATAATTATTAGTAATAATTGCTTACACTTATAGAGTGCTTTTCTGGACACTCCACCCAAAGCGCTTTACAGGTAATGGGGATCCCCTCCACCACCACCACTGCACAACCCCACCTGGATGATGCAACGGCAGGCATACAGCTATCAGTGGGGAGGAGAACAGAGTGATGAAGCCAGTTCATAGATGGAGATTATTAGGAGGCCATGATTGGTAAAAGCCAAGGGGAAATTCAGCCAGGATGCCAGGGTAACACCCCTACTCTTTTCGAGAAACACCCTGGGACTGTTATTGACCACAGAGAGTCAGGACCCCGGTTTTATGTCTCATCCGAAGGACAGCGCCTTTTTACAGTATAGTGTCCCTGTCACTATAGTGGGGCATTAGGACTGACATAGACTGCAGAGTGAGCGCCCCCTGCTGGCCCCACTAACACCTTAGTCATTATGTCCCAGCAGCCACACAGCACTAATCCAATTAAGCTAGAGCTAGAATGAAGCTCGATAGATCAGGGGTCCCCAGTCCTGGTCCTGGGCACCCCCATACCTGCTGGTTTCTGTTCCACCTGCACACTCAATCAAAGTGTGCAGGTGGCTTAATAGACCCAATTATACGTTTAATTTGAACACTTCCATTGTTTTCTGTTCATATACATGTTGTAAGTTGCCTTTCAGCTATTCTGTTTCGTAAGTAACTTAAGATCGACCTTTAGTCAGAAAAAAAAAAACCCATGCTAAGCAATTGGTTCAAATCAGGGTTGACCTGTGAGGGTCCCCAAGACTAAGACTGGGAATCCCCGCTAAAGACAGAGTGGCCCCCCTGGGTTTGAGACTGGACTCCTCTGCTTTAGAGCTAAGGCTGTGACATGCTGACACGGTGGTGGGCATAATCTTCAGCGATGCAGCCCGTTCCTGGCAAGGATTCTGGGATTGCCAAGGGCTCAGACATATGAAGTGACACACGCTTGCATTTAAGCGTCTTTTAAAAATGGCCTCCAGAATGCAATTTTTTTTTTTGGAAGACGGTCTGATCACGTTAAATAATGTGTGGGTCCGGAGAATTAGAGAGAGGAATTCCGGGATGTACAGAAGCTTTAACTGAATCGTTGATTGATTTAATTCATTTTCATAACAGTCTGCTATTGAAGGGTTGTAGTTATAATAATAATTGCTCACACTTATATAGCGCTTTTCTGGGCACTCCACTCAAAGCGCTTTACAGGTAATGGGGACTCCCCTCCACCACCACCGATGTGCAGCATCCACCTGTTCACCATATAACCTGCAGGGCAGTGACTGCAGAGGAGGTACAGACCAGGCCAGATCAGAACAGACCCTGTCTTGGCAGTAGTGGAGTGTGTAGGAATAGGTAACGCTGTGTGGAAAATCTCCCTTTTGAGTTACTTACACTTATATAGCACTTTCTGGACCCTCCACTCCAAGCACGTTTTAGGTAATGGGGACCATAGCGCACCGGTACACTCACCACACACCAGCTGTCATTGGGGAGGAGAGCAGAGTGATGAAGCCAGTTCATAGATGGGGATTATTAGGAGGCCATGATTGGTAAAGGCCAATGGGAATTTTGGCCAAGACACCAAGATAACACCCCTACTCTTCTCGAGAAACACCCTGGGACTTTTAATGACCACAGAGAGTCAGGACCTCGGTTTGTGTCTCATCCAAAGGACAGTGCCTTTCTACAGTATAGTGTCCCCATCACTATACTAGGGCATCAGGACCCACATATCCGGGATAGCCAGCAGAGGAATCCTACTCCGTTGGGCTCCTGAGCAAGACCCTTAACCCCAGCTGCTCCAGGGTTGCCGTACAAATGGCTGACCCTGCGCTCTGACCCCAGCCTTCTCTCCCTGTCTGTGTGTCTCATGTAGAGCAAGTTGGGTATGTGAAAAGATAAATTCCTAATGCAAGAAATTGTATATGGCCAATAAAGTGACCTTATAGACCACAGGGTGAGCGCCCCCTGCTGGCCCCCCTAACACCTCTTTCAGGAACAACCTTAGCTTTCCCAGGAGTCTGCCATCCGGGTGCTGACCAGGCTCACACCTGCTGAGTTTCAGTGGGTTGCAGGGTGATACGGCTGCTGGTGAGTTGAAACAGGAATGTATCGGGCCTTTGGGATTTTGTTATGGAGTCCCAGATTCAGGATCCAGTATCTGTCCTAAATCTCTGGTCTGTGGGAAGGTAGCCTAAGACTTCCTCTGGCCTGTTCCTGGACAAAAACAATCATGAGTGAAACGTGACTGGAATTATCTCTTTGACTTCCAGGGTCGGTGTTACCTATGGTAAGCCTCCATAGGAGTACAGACAGTATTTATACATGGCCATCAGGCTTTCTTACCTGTTGCTCCGCACCTACGCCAACGCTGCCTGCAAATTTATGTATCTTACTAAAAACGGCTGGTTTTAAAAAGAGTAGTCTACTTGTAGAAAAAAGGATGCCCACAAGGCGTCACTAGTGCGCCATGTGTTTCCGTTTATGAAATGTCTACAAATGTTTTTTTTTTTTAATTTGCAAGAACCGTTCAATCGTTTTGCGTTTAATGACACGATCTACAATTCACAATCACAAAGACCGCTTCCTATGACAGGCTGACCTGTTATAGAGTGATTTTTCCAGCTTGTCCTCAAGAAATGGCATTTGCCGTGTTTTGCGTAGGGTAAGAGGGTGGCGGGGTGGTGCAGAGGTTAGCACTGCTGCCTCCCGGCACTACAGCCCTGGGGTCTTGGGTTCAATTCTGGACCTGGGGTGCTGTCTGTGTGGAATTTGAATGTTCTCCCCCATTCACGTGGGTGTCCTGAAGGCGCTCCAGTAGGTTAATTGGCTTCAGGGAAGATTGGTCCTGGTGTGAGTTTGTGTCTATGTCTGTGTGTGCCCTGCGATGGACTGCTGTCCCAGTCTGGGGTGTATCCCGCCTTGTGCCTCTTGCTTCCCAGGACAGGCGCTGGGCCACCTTAACCCTGAGTTGGATGAAATGGTTAGAAAATGGGTGGGTGAACGGGGAAAGAACATGGACAACTGGAGATTTTGAAAGCGGCCTGGAAGTCTGGGGTTGCGATAGGAGGGGCCAACAGTCGTGATATTTGAGGTTTGTTTTAAAGTCATGTGTTGCCCATTTGCGTAATGAGTCGTCTTTGCTACACCTCCCTCTCCTGCTGCCCATTCTGAGGGCCCACCATAACTTAGTTCGTGGGTTTGGTCTTGGACTACCTAGGCTTGATTTATCCGGGTGAATCCCTTATACATCTGGCAATTTGTAAACAGAACCTGGACCCAGAGAGCTATATAGCTCAGGTGAACTGTGCGATTAAAATCTCGAGCTTCAGGAGCGGAGCCTTTCACGTCTGCGTCTTTGCTGTATAATCAAGCAATATGCTGGTGATGGAAGAGTTGACATTTAGGCTGTATTTGAATGGCTGCCCTGATCTGCCTCGGGCCATTTCATGCCTAGGTAATGAGCATGCCCAGTTAAAACTCTTCTCATTTTACTCCAGCAACAAGGCAACGGCCTGTCCTTGCTTTGCATAACCCACATTAAGGCTTGTGAGGTTTGCACATCCACCTCTTGTCTTGGCAGTGCGAAAACATGCCCTGCAGTTCAGCTGTCTTTTTGTTTTCTCAAAGATTCATCAAAGCTGCTCCGCGTAGACTTTTTGGAACATAATTATACAACTAATAAATCGGATTGAAGACTCAGTAGGGTATTGAGCCACTACCGGTAATGCGTATTAATCTAATTCTTTGCATGTTGCAGAAAATCAAAGGGTTCTTGGACACACCCTTACTTCAATCGCTTTGTCTTTTGCAATACAATGTGCATGGTGTCCCTGTTCTTGTTAATTCATGCAGAAGAATTG